AATCAACTCGGCATACATTGAACACCCCCCGGCAGATATCCCAGAGGATTCCTTCATTTTGGCCATCCCTATGTCCAATTGCCATAGAACTTCCAACTCACAGAGTTAAATGATTGCAAGATTTTTTTTCCCCTGGTCCCAAGTATTACTCAGGTTCTATGCACTGCTTTTGGAGTCTGAAGAACTAGGGAAATTCCCTGCATCTGCTATTTAGTCTCTGTTATTTAGTGCAAGTAATTTAATTTCCCTGATTCTCAGTTCTTCTATCTGAAAAAATGGGAACTAGAACAATGTCCCTACGTATTTGACATAATTGATATGTCAAAAGTGGTAATCTGTACTAAAGTGCTTTAAAATTTGTAAAGAAATCATAAATGGCTGGGCATGGTGGCTCACACCTATAATCTGAGCACTCTGGGAGGCCAAGGCAGGCAGATCACTTGAGGTCAGGAGTTCGAGACCCGAGCCCGGTGGGTCCAACAAAGGGGGTGAAAAAATCCAGGTCCCTGCTGCCAAAATGTACGAAAAACTTACCGGGCGGTGGGTGCACCGGCCCTTGTAAGCCCAGACGGCAGCTGTGAGGAGGAGAATCACTTGAACGCCCCGGAGGCCAGAGGTGTGTGCCCAGTGACAGCACACCACTGACCAGGCCTGGGATGGGAGTGGAAGTCTTGGAAAAAGAAAAAAAGAGAAAGCAGCACAACCCTTGATGTCAAATAGACCTAGTTCTATACTCACGTGACATTTTTATTGTATGGTGTCTGATCAACCCATTGCCAATGTCGCCAACCCTTTGGATCTGACAGCCCCAGAAAATAAGCAGAATTTATTTTCAGATTCTGAGTGATGAAATCCTGAGGGAAGAAAACGGAAGAGTCATAGTTGATGGAGCAGGAGCACCCTCATCTCCGACAAACACCGCCATTTTAAGTTCCAGCTCCCTTTCTTGCCTCATGCATTTCAAGGAAATCACTTCCCTTCTGACCACAAGCAGACAGAAAGAGCAGACAGTGAAACACAGATAAGACAGCTCAGGCACAGAGGGAGGTGGGGGGAAAGTCTCTTGGGTAACTGCCAAGCTTCACCCTCATACAATGGGTCCCAATAAAACAGTGGGCCTTAATAAGCACATTCCTTTCCCTTCAGGTGCACTAAGATAGGGAAGCTAAAAGCAGACTCTGGGGGGCTATGCCTGCAGCTGCAGAAAGATGTATGGGAACAGACACACGACTCTGCCTCCCCGATAAGCGCAACAAAGAGACACAGAAGCAGTCCCCCAAGCCTCTGATAAACTCTCCCACCCCGAATCCTTAAAAACTCTTTGTCTGGGCCGGCACAGTGGCTCATGCGTGTAATTCCAGCACTTCGGGAGGCCTAGGCGGGCGGCCTACATCAGGAGGTCAGGAGATGTAGACCATCTTGGCTAACACTGCGAAACACTGTCTCTACTTAAAAAAAAAAAAAAAAAAAAAAGCTGGGCGTGTGGCGAGCGCCGGTAGTCCCAGCTCCCCGGGAGGCTGAGGCAGGAGAATGGCGTGAACCCGGGAGGCGGAGCTTGCAGTGAGCGGAGATCTCGTCACTGCACTCCAGCCTCGGCGACAGAGCGAGACTCTGCCTCAGAAAAAAAAAAAACAAAAAACAAAACTCTTAGTCTGTAAGAGAGTGTGCCCCTGACCTAACTCAGCCAGAGGCTCCTCTCAGGTTTATTTTCTCTAAAATAAACCTGCCTTGACTGGCAAGCTGCCTTTCATATTTCTTTCCCCTTTCTTTAATTCTTACAATAGCCTTTAGCGGGGACTCAAGTTGAACAGAGTTCTTATGGCCATAGGAAGAAAAGAAGAAAAGGAGATGACCCAGGAGTCGCCACAAAGGGGCCCTGTCCAGGAGCAGAGGCCTCTGGCTGAGCAGAGCTGGATCAAAGACATCACTTGTGAGCATGATGTTTGGCGTGTACAGGAGCATGCTCTAGCCGTGGCCATCATAAATCCTCATGTCACACTTGCTTTCCTATTTCTTTGCTAAGTGACGGCATTCTTCAAGGCTCTGCGTATTGTGAGGAAATTTCTCCCTCGCTCCTAATACAGTCTTCTTGTAAAGGGAGTTGAATTAGTATATCTTTAGGTTTCTCTCTGCGCCCCACCCCCCTAGTTATTTATTTATTTATTTTTTGAGACAAGGTCTTACTGTCACCCAGGCTGGAGTGAAGTGGCGTGATCTCAGCTCACTGCAGCCTCAACCTTTCAGGCTCAAGCAATCCTCCTACCTCAGCCTCCTGTAGCTGGGATTACAGGCATCCACCACCATGCCCCGCTAAGTTTTGTATTTTTAGTAGAGACGGGGTTTCGGCCATGTTGCCCAGGCTGGTCTCGAACTCCTGGGCTAAAGCCACCCTCCTGCCTTGGCCTCCCAAACTGCTGGGATTACAGGCTTGATCCACCACACCCAGCCAGGAAAGGGTATTTTTATTTTTATTTTTGAGACAGAGTCTCATTCTGTTGCCCACATTGAAGTGCAGTGATGCAATCTCAGCTCACTACAACCTCCACCTCCTAGGTTCAAGTTATTCTCATGCCTCAGCCCCCCGAGTGGCTGGGATTACAGGTGCCCACCACCACATCTGGCTGATCTTTGTATTTTTAGTAGAGGCAGGGTTTTGTCATGTTGGCCAGGCTTGTCTTGGCCTCATGTGATCCACCAGGCTCGGCCTCCCAAAGTACTGGGATTACAGGTGTGAGGCACCGAACCTAGCCCCATATCAGTTCTTGATTGTCAGTTCTTGCAATTTAATTTTTTTTCGCAAGTCCTCATAATATTTCTTCTCTGTGAGGCAATTAATTGTTTCTAAGTATTTCTATATAACTGCATGTTATATAAATGATTGATAACAATGCTAGTATCAACACTGAATGTAGTGGGACTTCTACTTTACTTTCAATAATGGTGGACTAAGTAATTTGGACCAAACTTCTTGGCAAAATCAACTGCATAAGCTGGATGAAACATGAAAAACTTTAATGTCTCAAAAGGTCACAAAACAGTAAAAATTACCAGGTCAAGAAGCCAGAGAGAATGAAAAGCAAGGAAGATGTGCCTGGAAATCATGGCCCCTTTCTCTCTAGGGAAAGTTTGCTGATCCAGAAAAGGCAGTAGAAGGGCTGAACAGCACATTCCTCCCCCGCCCCCGCAACCTCAGGATGCTAAAGTTTAAAAATTTAAAAGTTTTGTGTTGTGGTGGTTTATGCCTGTAATCCCAGCACTTTGGAAGGCTAAGGTGGGAAGATTAATGAGGCCAGAAGTTTGAGACCAGCCTGGGAAATATAGTGAGACTTCATCTCTACCAAAAAATAATTAGGCCAGGCGTGGTGACTCACACCTGTAATTCCAGCACTTTGGGAGGCCGAGGCAGGTGGATCACCTAAAGTCAAGAGTTTGAGACCATGGGGAAATCCAGTGTCTACTAAAAATACAAAAATTAGCCAGACGAGGTGGTGGGCGCCTATAATCCCAGCTACTTGGGAGGCTGTCGCAGGAGAATCGCTTGAATCCAGGAGGCGGGGGTTGCAGAGAGCCAAGATTGCGCCACTGCACTCCAGCCTGGGCGATAAAGACTCCGTCTCAAAAGAAAAAGAATAATAATAATAATAATAATAATAATAACTCTGGGCTGGGCACGGTGGCTCACACCTATAATCCCAGCACTTTGGGAGGCTGAGGCAGGTGGATCACTTGAGGCCAGGAGTTCGAGACCAGCCTGGACAACATGGTGAAACCCTGTCACTACTAAAAATACAAAAGTTAACCAGGCATAGTGGTGCATGTCTATAATCCCAACTACTCGAGTGGCTGAGGCATGAGAATCACCCGAACCTGGGAAGTAGAAGCTGCAGTGAGCCGAGCTCATGCCATTGCACTCCAGCATGGGCGACAGAATGAGACTGTGTCCAAAAAATGCAAACCCACCCCCTGCCCAAAAATAAAAAACAACTTCGCACGCACACTCCAAATGCTTCAGGTCACTTTTTTTTTTCTTTTTTTGACAGAGTCTTACCCTGTCACCCAGGTTGGAGTGCAGTGGCACGATCTCGTGTCACTGCAACCTCTGCCTTCCAGATTCAAGCAATTCTTCTGCCTCAATCACCTGAGTATCTGGGACTACAGACATGAGCCACCTTGCCAGGCCTCAAATAATGTTGTACAAATAAGAAAATATATTTTGACATAGGTTTGCAGATTATTTTGAATGTACATGAACGTATATGAGACATTGTTAGTGGTTTGTGTAATTCCTTCCCTCTCCACCATATCAATTTATCTATTCATTCTTTCATTGAACATTTAAGCAGTCTATTGTCTGCTCAGACTCTGTGCTAAGTGTGGCATAGGAAGTCAAAACAAATAAAAGTTTACAACATGGCTGGGGAGACAGGATGAACAGCACTTTTGAAAACTTTGTAGGGTTAGGCAAAAATTAGAGTCCAGGCCGGGCGCGGTGGCTCAAGCCTGTAATCCCAGCACTTTGGGAGGCCGAGACGGGCGGATCACGAGGTCAGGAGATCGAGACCATCCTGGCTAACACGGTGAAACCCCGTCTCTACTAAAAAATACAAAAAACTAGCCGGGCGAGGTGGCGGGCGCCTGTAGTCCCAGCTACTCGGGAGGCTGAGGCAGGAGAATGGCGTGAACCCGGGAGGCGGAGCTTGCAGTGAGCTGAGATCTGGCCACTGCACTCCAGCCTGGGTGACAGAGCAAGACTCCGTCTCAAAAAAAAAAAAAAAAAAGAAGAAAATACTCTTTGGAAGCGAATAATATCTTAGGCTTCCAATTTTTTTTTGTTGTTGTTGTTGTTGTTTTTGAGACAGAGTTTTGCTTTTTCACCGAGGCTGAACTGGCATGATCTCAGCTCACCACAACCTCCACCCCCTGGGTTCAAACGATTGTCTTGCCTCAGCCTCCTGAGTAGCTGGGATTACAGGCATGCGCCACCATGGCCAGCTAATCTTTGTATTTTTAGTAGAGAGGGGCTTTCACCATGTTGGCCAGGCTGGTCTCGAACTCCTGACCTCAGGTGATCCACCCGCCTCAGCCTCCCAAAGTGCTAGAATTACAAGCATGAGCCACCGTGCCTGGCCTCCAATTATTTTTATAAATAATTTTTCAAGTACAACATCTACCACACAAGGATAATTTGAAACATACTATAGGCCAGACATGGTGTCTCGGGCCTATAATCCCAGCACTTTGGGAGACCAAGGCAGGTGGATCACTTGAGGCCAGGAGTTCGAGACTAGCCTGGACAACATGGTGTAACCCCATCTTTACTAAAAATACAAAAATTAGCCAGGAGTGGTGGCATGCACCTGTAATCCCAGCAGCTCAGGAGGCTGAGTCAAAGAATCACTTGAACCCAGAAGACAGAGGTGGCAGTGAGTCGAGACTGCGCCACTGCACTCCACCCTGGGGTGACAGAGAGAGACTTTGTCTCAAAAAATAAAAAAAGAAGATCTGGGCACGGTGGCTCATGCCTGTAATCCCAGCACTTTGGGAGGCCAAGGCAGGTGGATCACCTGAGATGAGGAGTTCGAGAACAGCCTGGCCAACATGGCGAAATCTCATCTCTACTAAAAATACAAAAATTAGCTGGGCGTGGTTGCGGGCATCTGTAATCCCAGCAATTCGGGAGGCTGAGACAGGAGAATCGCTTGAACCCAGGAAGCGGAGATTGCAGTGAGCAGAGATCTCGCCACTGCACTCCAGCCTGTGCGATAGAACAAGACTCTGTCTCAAAGGGAAAAAAAAAAACAAAAACTGGCCGGGCACCATGGCTCACGCCTGTAATCCCAGCACTTTGGGAGGCCAAGGCGGGTGGATCACGAGGTCAGGAGTTCGAGAACAGCTTGGCCAATATGGTGAAACTCCGCCTCTACTAAAAATACAAACATTAGCTGAGCATGGTGGTGGTCGCCTGTAATCCCAGCTACTCGGGAGGCTGAGGCAGGAGAATCGCTTGAACTCTGGAGGTGGAGGTTGCAGTGAGCCGAGATTGAGCCACTGCACTCCAGCCTGGCGACAGAGCAAGAGTCCGTCTCAAA